GCGGCCGGGCTGGCGGGGCCCCGGAGCGAACTTGCGCGAGCCCTGCCCGGCAGCCCCGGACAAAGGCGGCCCCTCACCGTCTTGCCGTTGTAGTAGTACATGAGGGAGCTGCTGCCCACGCCGGGCACGGGGTAGGCGCAGTACATGGCGCGGCTGGCGCGGGCCGGGCTCAGCGCGCCGCCTCCCGCTCCCCACGGCATCCACCCGCCGCCGCGCACATGGAGCGCTCAAAGGCGGCTTATGCAAAGCAGGACTGAACCATCTCCGGCCGGCGCGGGGGTTGGGCGCGGGGGGCGCGCCAGCCCCCGCTCCGCGCCCCGGCCCCGGCCCCGGGAGGAGGCGCGCACGGGCCCGCGGGCGCTGAGGGCTCGGCACACGCAGCCTACGCGGCGGGGGCCGCAGGGAACCCGCACATGGGCACGTCCTGAGCCCTAAGATAATCGTCTGCTTTTTGTTTTAATTAAATTAGAGCACTTGTGGCCGTGCAGACGCTGCTCGATGCAGCTCCAGCCACACGGCCATCTGGCTCTGTCTAAACTTGTTTCCAACTTTGGCAAACGTTTCCCAAAGGCGCGGGGAGCTGCTGGGAGCGAGTCCCAGGGGACAGCCCGAGCACCCCGCGCTCCCGGGCCCCTCCGAGCAGGGCAGGATGGGGCAGGGAGTGACCCTGACACAGACAACACCTATAAAAGGTGCTTGGGTTAAAAAAAAAAATCAATCGTGTAAATATTTTCACTGTATGGAATAATCCAAAATCCATCTTTAAGATGGGGTATACAATCTATAAGGAAGGATTCTCTTGGAAACACAAGTCCAGGATCCCTTTATATTGTATAATACAGTTTTGTATGAATAAAGCACACATACGTGCCCATACAAGACAGGACAGAGAAGGCGAGAGGACCTCAGCAACTTTGTCACATCACAAAATCGTGAATTATTCAATACAGCAAACAGACTGCAACTTCCAGCACAGAGATCCCTCAATATCTGCACACTATCAATGCCTGCTAGGCCTTTTTGCTTTCTTCACTGAGCAGGGGCATTAACTAACATTAACTCTTAATGGGGCGTACATTTTTTTTATTTTCTACAAGTGAACACAACTGGTTATTAACTGAGCTTCTGCTAAGTCAGATACTGACTTCAATCCAGGGAAAAAAAGGTTAACACACAACCACATTTCTCCACCTCCAGTTGTGTCTACTGCCAATGCTGTGAATTCTCCCTGCCTTCCTCCTGACAAAAGCAGGAAAATATTTCAGGATAAGGAAAAAAATGGGTAAAGTTCAATTCAGCCATTTACAGGGAGAGAAAGCAAGTTGCAGAAGTCTGGTTCATTCTGCCAAGCACCTCGTGTGTCAGTGAAACCCTCTGAACTAAAAAGATCCACAAGGGTGATAAACTGACTGCAGCTGAATACTACAATCAGATAAAAATCTCTGCGTAATGTCCATTATCTCAGGACATAACTACTGTAGTGTCTATAAATATACAGAATATATACACGCTGACAAAAAATATTCCCATCTCAAGCTTCAAATGCTTTTTCAGTGAACTCTTCCAGTCAATTAGACTACTGTGCTCAGAATATGTTGGCAAATACATCCTGAAGTTTCCATCTGCTGAAGAACACTTGCATTTTTACTGCAAGTCAAACTACGCATCCAGAACTGTTTAACTATGCAGCAAAGCTAATGATATCTGAACCAAACTCCTCTCCAATACAAAAGGCGTAGCAGCAGCAGCTGCAAAAAGAACATCACTATACTGCAGACTATTAAATTGCCAGGCCTGCAGAGTGACTGGCGGCTTCCTCCTTCCCTAGGGACCACAAAGACCCATTTCAGTCCCCAGAGAGTCCCTAAGAACCTTTGATTTGCAGCTAACAATGCCATTCCTTAAAGCTTCTCACTAATGTTCAGGACTCTACAGATGAGACTTGCTAAAAGATCTTCAGATCTTTGCATGTGCTACTTCTTATAGTGCACTAGATTAAAAACACTACTTCAGAATAATGTACAACTTAGAAAAGTTGGAAAAGACATTTTAGCTTACAGACTTGAAGTAGTAAGAGAACCCTTTAAAAAATAATTTTAGCATGCAAACTTTTGAAACATTAGAAGTACTTCCAGGGTAACTGCAGTCAATTCTTTGAAGACTATCACCAACATAGTTGTAATTGCTACTGCACCTCCATGCACACGTGCCCAGTTTTCATAATAGTTGTACTAGAGTTGAAGAGCATGATCAACCCCCTTCAAATAATAACCATTATCCACCTATATATAAGCAACTGGAAAAATGTTAAAAACATCAAGCAGAGAAACCTAACTTGACTGTGTAGCATTGGTGGGAGCTGCCCTATACTCGTACAGAGCAGTGTAACAAAAAATACATAGGTAATATTAACTAGTAATGTTTACTAACACTATTAACATTTATCAGTAGAAGTAAATCATTAACCTTGTTCACCAGCACATGGGTAAGACAAAAGCAACAATATGATCAATAAAACTGAGGAACGCCACTGCAAACGTCTGTTTGTAGACAAACTGGTCCCTCCATAATGAGTCACTAAATGAATTTGCTCCTGGCTTGCTTCCCCACAAAACAAAAGGACAACAATTGCATTTTATTGAAAAGGAAATTATTTGTCCTACACTCAGTTACATCATTGGGAATAAAATCTTGAGTGCCCAATGCTTGAAACACATCACTGTATCTGCTCTACATTTACTGTATGAAAACATTCTCACATTTGGTACATTGATTGACCATACAGGATCAGGCCATAATTCCATCAGCATATCAAACTTGAAACTACATAAGTTTACTTTCACCAGGATAAAATATGAACCTAAAATGGAAGAATTTGAAAGACTGCTGAAAAAAATGCTATGTTGTTAGCAATAACTCTGCATGTGCAGGAACTGCTACCAGGTAACTATTCCAAAAGCTCCTGAAGTCCAAAGCAAGTTTTTTTGTGGTTGCAATTTTTCTAATCCTCATTTAAGCCAAGCAACAGCTGCTCTGAAATTTGTTTTCTTAAGAGAATCATGTTACAGTGAAATGAATCATAGCTGGATAAGTGGTACTGTACAGGGTACCGTTGTTTACTCCATTTTTCCTTGGTGACAAGTCAAGGGTTAATCTTATGACTCAGCCTGACAAAACAAGTCAGCTGGAGACAGGACCAATTTTTTAAACTTGATTTCAGACAGACATGCCGTCAGCAGAGGAACACTGAACTGACATGCACTTTTGTAGCCCGAATTGTTTCCACTCATGACCCTGTAGTGTGTGTCAAAAACAATAAACTGCCTGTTCCTAAAGTATGTAAAGAGATTATGAAAGCTGATGCAGAGTGAAATACTGACCTAAAAATAAATGAAGCTACCTGTAAGAGAATATTTTCAAAGATGATTTTAACGCTAAGAGATTTTGTGAATGAACCACATTCACATTCTCCCTGAAAACAAACTTTTATATGAAATACATTTTTGTTCCATTTGTCAGTCACAAAGTAAATACACCATAAGCATATGTAATTCATCACTTGAATTTATAAAAAATAAACACAATTTCCACAGATTACTGAATGTTGTACCATATGAAAGATAGTTACATAACTGTCTCAACAGATGAGCCATTCTCTAGTCAAACATATTCCACAAAACTGAAATATCAAAATGCTTTAAAAAGGTTAATGCCTTCGATCAGTTTTGATATTTTAGATGTTCTAACACAAAAAACACCAAATCTCTTTAAATTACTACTAGAAATTAAAGCTCCTCTTTCACCAACAAAAGCAACTGTGATGTGCAAACCCAAGTATCAAGTATCTCCTTATGGAGAGCAAGCTTCAGTCTTGTTGAAAAAAACAGTAACATGGTCAGAGCCCAAGCCTGCTTTCCATGGGGAACCCAGATATTTTTTTCTTACCAACTTCCATTATTTTCTATGGGGCTAGGTTAACCTTCTAGCTTTGGAAATAAGGCAAAGGCAACTGTCCTAGAACTCTCTCCTTTCCATCCCACACTGTCCAAGGCTGGAACTTCTTATCAATTTCAACCACGTTCAAAGAGGAACAGAAGTTTCACAAGTGATAAAGTTCTTATCAGTTCTAAGAAAACGGGAACCTGAACAGGAGAGACACACTGGAACTGATACAGAACAACCTGTTGCTATCTAAAATATACATAGTAATTTTGAGCTGTTTGTCCAGTAAAAATTCAGGAAAAAAAACTATACATCTCTGGATTCCAAATACAACCTATTCTAAAGCCAAACATTTACGATGATTAACTATAGCAAAGCCAGACTTAGGACGATTGCTAAGCCATGCACTGAATATGCTGCATAATGTAGCTGTCAGGATAGACAAGATTTCAAGCTGTAAGAAAGAAACCTGGCTGTTTTCAGGGGAAAACACAATGCTTATTATACTGTCCTCCATGTAATTCATCAGCTAAGTAAATGTTAATTTATTTTAAAATCCTGGAAGGATAGCCTTCTGTGTTAACCAGCCACTAAGCTTGCTGCTCAGCAGAGATGGAGCAGATGAGCTGTATGGAAGGCAATTTAAAATAACCCAGTAGACTAAATTTTATAGGCAATGCCTCCTGCCAATATCCAAAGGATGATGTTTTATGCAAATTAATTTGCTAATCCACACAAGAGGCAAAATAGTTTGGTGGTTTTCATTTTCAAAGGGTTTGTCTTTAACTGCACATTTAACATTCACGTTGCTATAACCAAGGTAAGAGTTTAAAGGGATAGTGAATAAACAGTAAATACTAATTAAATGGATATTAATTGCTATCCACTACTTTCACCTTGCAGTATTACAAGGTTGAGGGATAGTTGTTGTGGATTTTGTTGCCGATTTGGGCTCTTTTTTTTTTTCCCTGCAAAAAAACTCCAGTTAGCTGTGGCAGATATGAGTAAAAAAATAGCAATTTTTTAAAAATAAGAAACTGCAGCCAGGACTTTTCTGTTCAGTAGTTCTCTAAATAATAATGAATTTATTCAATGTTCAAGTTGAAAATACTGAATTTTATGAGATATTTAAGTTATTAAACAAGTATTTTCTTGGAATGGGAAGAACGAGGGGAAAAGTGTTGCACATCCCATTTTTCACAATCAATCCCAAAATAATTTCTTAGAGGAAGTTTGAAATTTGTTTCAAAACCATTCAAATTTAACTTTGATAGGATATTGCTCAAGTTCAGAAAGTTTTATTATTTTTCTGGAAATATAAAGCACCTAAAGTTTGAAAGCCCCTATAGGAAGGCCTTAACCACGCATATCTGCATTAAGAAGTAAACAAACATGTTTATTATCCTGAGGCAATAAACTCTCCTATCAGAAGCCAGATAATCACCACAAAACGTGCTAAAACCCTATCCAACCTAGAAACCTATGCAGACCTTAAAAGAGTTTTAAACCCTGAGATAAATCAGCACGGCTGTTACTGAAACTCGCACAAGACTACCTGAAGCACAGATCGCTGCGCACCGACTGCAGCGGGCCGGGCCGATGGCCGTGCGCAGCTGCGGGGTCCCTGCGGGTCCCTCTGCCCGGCCGGAGCTCCCTACAGGCCCGGTTGTGCCCGGCCCGGGGCTCCCTCCACGCCTGGCTGTGCCCGGCCCGGGGCTCTCTCCACGCCCGGCTGTGCCCGGCCCGGCCGGGGCTCTCTCCACGCCCGGCTGTGCCCGGCCCGGCCGGGGCTCCCTCCAGGCCCGGCTGTGCCCGGCCCGGGGCTCTCTCCACGCCCGGCTGTGCCCGGCCCGGGGCTCTCTCCACGCCCGGCTGTGCCCGGCGCGGCGCACCCGGGGCCACCGCCAGGCCCGGCTGTGCCCGGCCGGGCCCTGCGTCGGCGGCCTCGGCCTGCAGGGGGCTCCAGAGGCACGACCTGCGCCCGGCCCGGCCCGGCCCGCACTCGCCGCCGAGGCTGAGGCAGAAATTGGCTGTCAGGGAGCTCTGAACATGGCGAGGCGGAACGCTGAGCGCTGGCTGTGCCTCGGCATGGAGCGCCCTGCGTCCCTCCCCTTCTCCTGTGCTCCAGATCGCTGCTTGGCAAAACTGCTCTGCGAACGAAGCCGAGAGCTACCACAAGCTGCTAAACAATCCTTCTGACATCCAGGATCAGGAACCCGCCCGTGCCTTACAGAAAGGAACAGCTAACAACTAATCCTAGCTATCAGTGCAAGTGGAATGAAATCCCACAACTACATCTCCAAGGCTGAACAACTTGCTTGCTGTATAAAACCTGATGTCACAAGCAACTGTGGCACTTAAATAGGAGGTAATTTAATTCAATTTCTTTGCTTCATTGTATAAAGACACATCTACATCTGAAATTTTACTTAAAAATGATGGAGTGCTTTACTTTCAGTACCATTCTTTTGAAAAAGCATTTGTTTTGGTTTTGCACTTGTTTTGGTTTTGTATTGGCCCCTGCCCCACTTTGGGGCTGAGCAAGCAAGCAAAGGGAAACCTCTTACTTCAACAGCCCATGGAAGTCCAGCAACACAACATTCCTCATGACTTTGCCAGCTCACTTCAAACGTTATAAACATCTTCCCACCAAAGCCACAAGTATTATCAAGCAAAAGATAGTAAGAAATAGTCTTCAGAAAAGCTTCTATCCTTATCTATTGTTATAAAACACCACACCAATTTGTGGTAATGGACGCATTCATCTTTGAGGAAAAGCAGAGTTGCAGAAATTCCATGTAACTTCTCCCTAAATTGCATGAGCTGCAACTCAGTATTTCTTTATTAACATTTTTTCTAACAATGCACAAAATTTAACGTTCTTTTATGCAAATCTACACTCTAATTTAAGAACATCCAATACACTCGTTTTGATATGTTATGAATACTTCAAAAATTAACTACCTCCAGTAAACCTAAACACAGAAATTATTTGACATCATTATATATCCATCATGGATGTATGTATACACAGGATTTTCAGAGAAGATCTCTTAATTCAGCAACCTTACATTAGTTCACCACAGTCAGATGACAGGACAGTTAGTTTGGAAAAATAATCTGATTGCAATTTTTAAAAAAAGCTTTTAAGAGAGGGTTGCTCAAGTACCTTCACCCTAATTCAGTGAGAAGTCAAGCTGAACTCTCACAGCAGGAATTTGCAATGGGCTGCCTGCTTGTTTAATGACAGCTAAATGTTCTCATGCAGCAAAGAGCAGGTGGGATGCTATAATCTGAGGCTACTGCAGTTTTCAGATAGATTTCAAATAAAGGCCATGTTGAAAAAAAAACCTACAATAATCTAACCAGAAAAATAGATCTTTTTCTTATTAAACATAACATCTCAAATATTTTTACTTGGTTTGTAACATAATTTAGAGGTTGGATGTTTTGTACATTTGCATTTTGTTCAGGTACATAGATGAACACAGTGTTTAAAAAGCAGTACTTAGCAAGTCCCTAAAGAATTTATTCCATAAATCAAGCAACCAAAGAACAAGCAGAAAGCCGAAGATGGAAGACTCTGTACTGAGGAAGAAATCCTAAGTTCTGTGTGGCATTATCCATAAAGATTTATTTACTCAGTTTCATTATTTAAACTTGCTTTCTAAAACACAGCAGTGCAGCAGAGGAGAGGGTCAGGAGAGTTCCTGCTGGCTTTGAGAGCTCTCACTATTAAAGACAAGTGACAGTTGAATGTATCACTTGACTGTGCAAGGCGGTTCAAAACAGATCTGAACAAACTAAATCCTGCTTTTCACATTTGGGCACTGTTTGTGGGCAGTGGGGAAAAAAATCTTACCAAAAAATGTCTCCCTAGAAAGTCACTTAAATACAACATCACAGTCAGTTCAACATCACACAAAGTATCTGCCCAGGATGCTCTGAAGTTTTGATTCAGAACCACACAGTTCATAAAGTATTCCAGTGGTGTTGCTTTACACCAGGCTACTTCAATACACATGGAAATTGCTAATGCTGACAGTCCACTCAGTGTGGTAAACATTGTATTATTTCTAATACAGTATAAACTTTAAACTCTCAGATAATCATTCAGAAGATACTTCTCATTCTACCATTTCAAATAATCTCCTTTTACCCTTTCGTGAAGAGTAGAGGAAGGAGAGAACACAGAAGGGATAACATCTATTATTTTTCTTCTTTACCATCAGTATCTTTATGTGACGTGTTTTGCAACATCTCTACAAGCTCAGTCTTAAAAGACTGGCAGGAAAACAGAAAGAAAAGTGCCTTAAATGGGAGGTAGTTCTATGCATGCAAACACAATTTGCTGTATCTTTGCACCATAAATAGTTCTTGCAAGAAATTAGCACCCATGGACTATACACATACCATAGAGGGTGATATATGAGAAACCCCTATAATGAAACTACAAGTTGACTTACATGTATTGAAAAATACAAGTTTGAATTTAGAAAGAAATCCCTGGTATCAGAAAATACCAATTTGACAATCTCTTATTAAATAAGTGCAATCCAAAGTTTAATATTAAACTGAACATCTCAGGTGCTATGGAAAGCCTAATATACTCAAAATACTTATTAGAAACTACACAGAAAACAAGCAGACATTTATGTCTGTATGTCACAGCTCATTTTCTGTAACAAAAATCAACAGATACAATGTATTCCAGCTATTTCTCTGATATGACACTAATTAAATAGCAAAAGAATGATGATAGATATTCACACTATTTTACTTAGAATTACGGCCCCATGATAGCCACTGATTATGGTACTAGTAACAAATGTTAGTTTGAAATATTTCCTGACTCCACATGTAAATAGGAGGTTTCTGCTCCCAGCCCATCCATTTTTGGATGATGATGTCCGTGGGCATTTCTGAGAGAGCCTCCCTTGTTTGTCTTGTCCCTGTGCCGCCTGAGCAGTTCTCTGGAAGCCCTGACACTGCTGTGCCTGGCCGAGGAGCTACGCTGCTTTTAGGTCACATGATGTTATGAGTGTCTGGCTTACTTCACTCCTACAATCAGAAGAATTCTCACAAATACAACAGTTTTCCATCTCTGAAGACAATATAAGTCACCAAACAGTATTTCCCCCCCTATAACATAAACAGCCTAGCAATCCTGCTGTTCACTCAAACCTGGCTTTTTAAAAAATATGGTTTTTAATTTCTGCCCTCAGAGTGCTTTAAATTTAGTAGTTGTAGTTTAACATAAATGCTTGCATGTCAACATTCAAAATGTTTTGGGCAGTGAGTCACCACTCAACAAGTTACAACAGAAAAACTTAAAAAATGCATTTGCCTGGAACATTTAATTTTTACAGTAAGAGGACAAATTCAGATTGAGTTGCATTCCAGAAAGAAGCCAAGCAATTCACCGGCACTTTTCTCTGTAACTGTTTTACTTTAGGCCCTGATAAGAAAACATTAAAAAAGATAAACCTCAAAACTAATAATTTCAGAATATACCATATAAAACCAAGGGGAAAAGAAATAAACTAGAGGAAGGGTTGTTTGGGGTTTTTTGAATCATTATTACTTAAAAGACTGTTATTAAATTACAGTTATCTAGGAAATTAAATTACTGCTGAGTATCCGTTGACATGGCAGCCTTATACTAACAAAAACATTGCAGAAAGCAATATTTTAGAAACTGAAAAATTAAAAAACATAGATTTGTATAACAAAATTAAGTATCATCTTTCCTTTGACTTTTCATATTATAATTAAACTTCTCTGCACTAAAGCAACTTTTTCCCACAATACATTCTGACTTCTTAGGAAAGTATATTTTAAATAAAGACTACACTTACATAATGATCTACTCAATTTAAATTTCTCATGATGCTCAGTGAAATTTAGTTTTGTATCATCTTCCACATATGCAATATCTCAATTTTTTTTGTAACGTGTCATTTTACTTCAAGGCTCTATTCAGCAGTGAAAGCATTGAAATACAGAGAAACAGTGTTAAAACCTGCAGCATCACAATCATTGATTATTCACAGTAACTGCACTTAATTGCACAGATTGGTACAATGTTAATACAAATAAAATCTATCAGCATTTCCTTGTCTCCAATCTTACAGAAGAAGAATTAAATGAAAACCATTTGAAAAATACTGCTTGTTAAAATTAAACCCTGGTAAGACAAATGAGAGAAATCTTTCGTTCTCCAAAATGATCTTTTTACCTGGCTGATGCTACTAAATATTAAACATGTAGCGTAAGCTTTATTACTGCCTAGAATTACTGTAATAAATTTCATTAAAATTGCACTGCTATGTGTTTCAGCTTCTCTGACATTTTAAATATATTTTTGTTAATCTAGCAGAAATCATCTGCTAGACTGTAAAGCCACCCTACATAACACGCAACTGTTAAAATGTAAATTGCCAAACTATTTTTAGCTGCTGCTGAAGGGGAAAAAAAAAAAAAAGGAGGGGGGGAAAGAAGAATATTCCTGGCCTCGGGAATAATGATTTGAGGCATTGTGTTCATTTTGTTTATCAAGCAGCTATTCAGCCTCTAGTGGGGCCCAAGTGCTTATGCAAGCAAAAGCTTTTAAGAGTGCCTGCAGCTGCAATCCTGGCTTCCAGGTAGGCTGCAGGTTCAGAGCACAGCTGCCCCAGGCTATCCACACTATCTCAGCTCCATCTGGAAGTACTGTTAAAATAGGATTTCAGATCCCGGGTTCTGTCTGTATCATCGTGAGCAGGGGGAGGAAGAAGGGAAAGAGAGGGAGGAGAGAACAGGGGAGCTGCGAGGACTGGAAGACACCATCCGTAGTGCAGGCTCAATAGGAAATGAAAAGCTCAGCCCCATTTTGCTGCCGCTATATTGCTGTTCCTGTGCACTGTGTTCTATTCAGCCTATCCGGCTTTGAGTTATGACTCATCCAAGTGCACCTGCGCCCATGTGTTAAGTACTGCCAAATAAAAGCCCAACATCCATTTACACAACAAAGAGATGTATCCCGCAAGGCAGTGGAGCTTCCCCCTCCCCTCCTGTTTGTTCTGAGCAAGGGAGAAAATAATTCTGTCCTTCACTTCACTGGGGATTTTTCACTTCACGTGGATTTTTAAATGCAGCTTCATTTATAAACAATTTTCTTCCTTTTAAGAATAAAGCATATTTAATACCACAAAACACCCCTATAGCATTACATTATCACAGCCATTAATGATTTTTCCACCAAAACCCTTCCAACCTTTTTTATCAAAGCCCTTTATTCTCGAAGGATAAATTTTCAAGCAAAGAGGGATCAACAAACTAGTTGCTTGAAAGCTTTCCTGATGCTAGGCTGAAGTTAGGAAAGGCTTA